CTAGGAATAAGGAGGAAATAAAACAATTACTTGCAAAATTAGTTGAGGGGAGAGAAACTAGTGGATCCAAACCTAGGGTTGTCCCAACTAGGTATCAAAAATCCAAAGAGGTTAGAATCCCTAAGAGTATGCATGAGGAAGAAAATACAAAAAGAGAGGAAGAACTTAGAAGAAAAGAAAAAGAAAAGAAAGAAAAAAAGAAGAAAAGTATAGAGAGGGTTAAAGAGTGGTTAGAACAAGAAAAACAACCAACACTCTTAAAGAAAAGTAATAAGGATAATGTTTCTTCCAAATGGCTTATGCTTGAGGAGAGTCACTTTCCCATTGAAAATGATTTAAAAAAGACTTTCTTCATTCATCAAGACCTTAACTCTTTCTCTCACGTTGCCACTAGTCATGAAGTGGAGATTCAAAAAAAATCCTTTTTAAAGAAAAAGAATCTCAACTTCAAGATTTAGTGAAGAAGTGGACTTCACTTAGTCCCACTTCTTGTGCTACTTCCTTGTGGCGCCATAAGCCTTCTTTCTTTAAGACTCTTTCTACTTTAATTTTCTTCATAAAGCACCCAACTTTTGCTTTGTATGGTTTGTTGGATACATCTCATGGTGTTGTATCTTCTATTTTTGATCTTGAAGGAAGTTCACACTTATTTGAACTTAACTTAGTTACTTCCCTACAAGACAAACTTAGATTATGAGTTTTCTAGACTCCTCTTAACACCTTTTTCTCATATATATCTAACAAATTATGTAATACAAAGTTGTTTAGGTAATTTTTTAGTTAAATTTTCTTTACTTTCCAATACATACCTAGGTCACTACATTGGGTACCTCCAACAAGATATTTTAATTTTTAGGACTAATGCATTAGTGTGCTATAGTTTTAGTCTTTTTAACATTTTAGGCTTTAGTTATACACCTATACTTCATCATAGGGAGGATCTTATCCTTAGCATTAGAGAGTCTAGTCCTTTTAGTTTAGAAATTATTTTTAGCATTTTTAGTGAAACTCCTCTTAGGATGCACTTTCCATCTATATCATATACTATTGCCTCTCATGCTTATTTCTATGTTTTTGTTGGTCATGACAAAGAACCTCTTGATTTGAGGTCAAATCCTTTTCAAGAGGGAGGGAATGATGGAATCATACTAAGGCCAAGAAGACCCAGAGGTGATATTTTGAAAGAGGCAAGAGGAATGGGTTAGTTTTGAAAACTCTAAGAGGAGTGGGCCTAACTTTGAGCCTTAGCTCCTACGTTTTTATTAGCATAAAATTTATTCCTATTTTATCCTTATCTTTAAATTTCCCATTTTTACCCTTGTATTTTGGATATCTTAGACATAGGATTTATTTTTCTTTGTATTTCTCATTTTACCCTTGTATTATGGGGTTTCTTAGTCATAGGATTTATTTTCTTTTGTATTTTCCATTTTACCCTTGTATTATGGGGTGCTTTAGATCATAGGTTTTTAATTTTGGGCTAAGGTATTTAATTAGGGAACTAGACATATTTTTGGCGGTGTTTGGACCTATTTTTGGACTTAGAAAGGCTTAGGCCCAAGTGGAGGGCAAAGGTTGCATGGTCTTATCATGCACCTAGATGTAGCCTAACTAAACTCAAAGATTCCATCCTTGGCCACCAAGTTGCATCTAGGGTTAATTTGGGTTTCATTTGGTGTGCATTTGGCATTGTAAATTTTGGCCAATGAAACCCTAAATGCAACCCTAGATGCCTCCCACTCCTATAAATACCCTAGGCACCACACCTTGTAAATACTTTGGATATTGAATATAAAGAGAGCATTTTTGCCTTTATATTATCCTTAGTCACCCTAGGCTAAATTCGGCCACAACCATTCCTGTCTCCACCTTGAGAGCAAAACCCTAGAAGTGGCCTTCAACTACCTTGGAGTGAGTCAAACCCTAGAGTGCCCTCTCAAACCTTTCATCAAACACTTCACCCACACTCTCTATTTTCGTCCATTCCACCTTATTCCTTCTCTAAATCACGCATCACCTTTGAAGGACTTGATCCTTGAAGTAGGCATCCTCTCCCTTGCTCATCATCTCAAGTTCATGCAAGCTAGGATGCCATCAATTAAGAATGTGTTAGGGTAAACAACTTAATTAAGCACGTATTGAATCAAGGAGAAAATAAGGTTAAATTATTTTCATATTGTTAGATTGATGTATTTTGTTTGTTATAAATAGTTTCTCTGTAAAAGGCTGATCCTTTTTGTTGTCTTTTCACTGTCTTGCCTGCTGTATCAGGGATCTGCTGTCATCCCTTTTAGATCCTCGTCTGTACTTTTTCTCGTATATTATATATATAATATTCAGATCCGGAGGTGTGAGATACACACCAGACTATTTTTCATTTCAAACTCTTAATCTCAAGTCATATTAATTGAAAATTATTTTCATGAGTTATCCTGAAGAACTTACTGAAATAAGCTGAAAATAGCTCATGGACATATCATAAGCTATTCTCAATTCATAAACTCTCCCAAACATTTTGGCAGACGATAAATCCATATACATTGTAAATAAGTTCTTCCAAACATGTGGTAAATAGTTTCCTTAATTCAAGACCTAGACCCTACTGAAACCTATTTTGATGACTATATCTACCCAGCACTTTAGTCCTCAGTTGTCATCAACACGGTACTCAGACAACACCCAAATGATTGCAAGTTGCAACCCACTCTAGTCCCATCTCAGAAGTCAGAACCCTCCCCCGAGCCTTATCACACCTATTCTTTTTTGTCCAACAAAAATATAGATATTCCAGCCCTTCCAACAATAATATAGATATCACACCTTCATTAAATTTCTCAGACACTTAGCTTCTATTTAATATAAAAGTAAGAGTTAATCACTTATACACTATCAGTGTAAAGTTTTTTTACACTGGTAACCAATTAGATCTTTTAATTGTGTCATGTCACTATAAACACATTTACTTTTAACAGTGACATGGCACAATTAAAATATCTAATTGATTGTCAGTGTAAAAAAACTTTACACTGCCAGTGTATAGGTGATTAACTCTAAAAGTAAACCATACCAACATAATGTTTCATTGGTACTTTGAAGGATAGGGCAGTTTTGCTTAGTTTATTTTCTTCTTTTCTGTTTGTTTTGCAATCTATTTTTATGTTAAGGTGAAATCCTTAACCCATCATCTTTAACATAACTTCTTATGTCGTAATGAATTCTTTTATTACGAAAAAGCAGGGAAAGAATCAGAGTAACTGAAGATAAACAGAAAAGTTTCTTGTATCATGAGATGCGAGACATACCTGTTACAGCCTTTCTATGATACTAGTCATCTCTTCAATGCCACTGAGATGTATATGATGCAAGACATACCTGTTAGCTGTTACAGCCTCGATGCCACAATCTTAGCCTGCTTGGTCATTAAGTATTAAGTAGTTAGCCCTATCAGATGTTGACTAGAGTAATTCAAATGCCCGGCACTCTTCAAGTTCTTGAAACATGGTCTTAGGATGACGAAAGCATCCCATAGCAGCCCAGATGTGTTTCTCAAAAGACTCACCTGTAAATAAAGGATGTGGTGCATCAGAGAAGAACTCTTAGAAGGGAAAACAATCTCACGTTTTCTTTATTCGCAGCACAGGTGGCAAGAAATTGCTCCCAGCGTGAATAAACATGAAGCAACCCAAAGTACCCTGCAGTTTCACAAGTGTAACCACATCCTCTGGCAATTGAAGAGATCTTGCTAGCCTCTCCACTTCACTCGACAATTCTAACCATCTAACAAGCATTGCATTAACAAGACCTTGCCGACTAAAATCAAGATCAGTTGCTAGCTCTTGTTCTCCTTGACCAAGTCGGAGAAGATAATGTGCAGGAACATCTCTCTAAAACAAGAAGGATTAAAATGAAACAAACGGTAAACTTCTGTATATTAGGTGATAATTTATCAATAAATTGAGTTTCTGAGCCTAGAGTTAGACCCCTCAATGGAATAGCATAGATAAATCCCAACGAGAAAAACAATAACAAATACTGGTTCATCTTCCACAAAACTAAAACTTTGGTTGAAAACAACCATTAATGTGGTGATGCATTATGTAAACTATTCAACTCAGAAAGGCCGAGAAAGACTTGCATGTGCAACATTTTGGTATTACTTCCTAAACTTCTTAATTTTGGTTAATTACAAACTTCCTAAACTTCTCCAGAGTAATTTAGGCTAGGTACAACACTTTCATTATCCCACATAATCAGCACATTTGGGTAAAGGGGAAGAGCATTAATAGCTTTTATTTGACATTGTTGCTTCTCAAAATAGGACACCATTACTTCGATAAGAAAATTGACCCTCTCTAACCAGGGATCTTCCTTAGAGACCAATTTGAGCTGCATGATAAAACAATGTCAAAAACAGAGGTATGTGGTATTGAAAATCAACACATGGCTCATTCTTTCAAGGATTACTATACTATGTCTAAAATAAATCAACATAACTAATACATAAATGATAAAACTATGTAAACACCTATGGTAAAACTCAAAATCTACCCCCTTTTAAATATAACAAAAGACCAATTTCCCCTTATTGTATCATATTCCTATGCAGAGTAAGCTTGTACGCATCACAGTAGTTGAATCAGGATACAAATTGTGTATCAGAAAGTCTATTTTTAATCATGAATCAAATAGTATTGTGAATCCTAAAATTCATTATCAATAATAAAACATAACATATATTTATAAGGAGCAATTTAGCATAAAAAAAAATATATGAAAAATGACTTTGGTCAAAGTAAGGAAATTCCAAATAAACTCTTGAAACTTATAGTTATTTCGTCTAAATCTCTGAACTAACCAATTATTGTCATTTCAATTCTTAAATATACATCAATATTATCATTTAAGCCACATCTTTTTTTTTATTTTGGATTTAAGCTAGTAACATTTTACATTTCCAGGTTTTTTAATTTTCATGTTTAGATGACCAAAGTGTCAAGCCATACAATTTCAAATACCCAAATGGTATTTTATCTCATCGGTGAAGTATTAGTTTATATACAGCAAGTAACGAATTTTAACGAATCTAACAAAGTAACTGAAAGCAAATGAGAGAGATGCGGTTAAACCTAAGTATCCAAGTATCTAACTAACTTGAACGTAACATAGTAACAGTAACATTTGTATATACGAATTCGCACAGTAACATAGCAATTCAATGAATCGGATTGGATAGGTTTCTAGATATCAGAGTCGTCATCAGAGGGCGGAGAAGGATCGAGACGCGCAGCATCCTTAGCCCACTGGATGAGTTTCTGAACTTGAGTCTCTTCATCTTCGCTTTCTTCTTCTTGGTGGTAGCCGGTGGCGGAATCGGATGGTGTGATAGTGACGGTTGTTGGGGCGGCAGAAGGTGATGATTTGGCTTTGAGAGCATCGAATCTGGCGGAGAGATCGTGTTGCTGAGGCTGAGGAGGAGAAATGGATTGGGCTTTCATTTTGAGGGCCTGGAATCGACGCTCCAGGTCCAGGTCCAGATCGGTATTAGCGGAAGGAGAAGGAGAAGGAGAAGGAGAAGGAGAAGCACGTGCGATGTGAGAGTGAGAGAGATTTAAGAGGATTTGATCTTGCGCTGCTTGCAACAGTTCTTCAACTTCATCGTCTCTCTTCTCCTGCTCCGTCTTCTTCTTGTTGCTTCCCTTCATCCTCTCTCCTCTACACCCAATATTCATCCCCTAACTATCCCTAATTAATATACTACGCCCACACTACATTACTCGATATTTTGCAACCTTTCAATATAACACTATTATAGACTTCTTTTTTTTATTAATATACCATTTTTTTATTTTAGTAAATAACCCTTCCAAAAAATTATTTACCTAACTAACCTATATCCACGTCCAATCGAGAAATCAGTTAATAAGTAAACTCATTCAATTTAGATTCTTTCCTACAATTTTTTCTCTCTAGCTTCTCTCTTGCAATATTAATAGCCATTAAATATATCTAATAGCTCAAATTTAATCATTTAAAAATTACATTAATTATAAGATTAAATTTGAGCCACTAAATATATCTAATGACTATTAATATTGCATGAGAGAGGCTGCAGAGAGAAAATTACATGAGAGAATCCAAATTCAAACTGATTTCTTAACGTGGACTTTTATTTTTTTTTTAAATTCAGTAAAAAAATCGATTAATATTTTACCACCTTTCAATATAAGACTATTAGATGATTTTTTTTTAAGGAGTATTACATGACCTTATTCCTTTCTTTATTTTCTTAATATAGTTAACATAAATTGTTTTACTAACTTTTTTCTTAATTTTTTTTAGAGTACAATAAAAAAAATATACAAAATTATTTTTATATTAATCTTTCATCACTTCATTTATTATAAAGAGAAGTATTATCAATTATGGAAAGAGATAAAGACAAAAAGTTAATATTGTACAAATTATCAGTATAATTTTTGTTATATTTATAGCATTATGTTTTTTTATATATTAAAATATTAAATAAATTATATTATTTCTTAAGAAATATAAGTATTATATTATCACTCTTTTATATAAAATATATAATTTATAATAAGTAACTTAATATCACTTATTGCAAAATTTTAGAATATATTTTTAATTGAAATATATTCTAAAGTGTTTCTAATTTATCAAGTTGTTATTTACAAGTTATATGTTTAATATACATATTTTTAACAATATATTTAATTAAATATAATTATTAAATTTTATTAAAAATACTAATTTATTTAAATATTTATAAAAAAATTATATTAATAAAATATTACTTTGATGTGGTGATGCATTATGGTGTATACTTCCTCATACAAAAACTAATTTATTTATAATAAAAAATAATATAATAATAAAGAAAATAACATAAAGATAAAATTATTAAATTAATAAGTTATGAATAATTACTCCATTTATAGATAATTGATCATATTTTTACTCTTTTTGTCAAGCTAAAGCATACATGTCATATGAGTCAAGCTTGTTACAATTGTAGTCCATTTGAGAACCTTTGAGAGATTTTGTGAAATGTCTTTTAACTAATCAATTTTACCAACAAAGTCAATGGTAATTTCTCTTGAAAGCACATTTTCTCTCACAAAAAGATTATCTATCTCTGTGTGTTTGATTTGCTTATGGAAGACCAAATTAGATGCAATGTGGATAAAAGTCAGGTTTCATGAGCTTATCATCTTGAATATATCCAAATTGTAGTTGTTATAGAAGTTGCTTAAGCTATGTAATTTTTGGAAACAACTGTTGACATAAAATGATACTCGGCTTTGGCACTAGAATGAACAATTGAATTTTGTTTCTTACTTCTCCATGAGATCAAATCTCTTCCAATTAGAACACAATAATCAAAAGTTGGCCTCCTGTCTTATGTAATCCTACCCAATAAGCATCAAACAATCTTGGCATTATCTTTATCTTCATATAGTATGTCAAAACTTGGTGTATTCTTCATGTAATGAAGAATGTCCATGACAACATTCTAATGAGTGTCACAATGGACATATATTAAGGAATTGGCTTACCGCACTGATTACAAATGTAATGTTTGGATGAACCAATTCCTCATCTCTTGCGAAGTAGTTCTTGAGACCAAAAGCTTCAAGATCATTTCTCAAATCAACACCAATTTTGGCAATGTTATAAATGTTGAACTAATTCTCGAGAAAAACAAAGTCTTTGGGTTCAAAGGCTTTGACATAGCTTTACTTTTTTCTTTTACCATATTTTTGGTAAAAGAAGACTCGAGACATGGTTACTGCTAAAGTTTACTTTTATATGAAGAGATTTTTTATATATAAAAAAAAGGTTTTTCTATTGCACATAAGGTTGTGTGAGCAGCTTTAGAAGTTTTGTAGAAGACAAAGAGGTGGTAACTTTTTTTTTGTTGAACTTTCATTAAAAGCAACCATCAAATCAACCAATTCATTATATTTTAGAGTAGTTGACAAAGATACAATTTTTTCAATACAAACATTAATGACTTAGTGTGAGAAACTTAAAATTTTTAAAATAAAACCATGTAATGACATGCCTTACATATTGGATAGCTAAGTAAATTAGTAAACAAGCACATACACATTGGACAATGAGGTACATTGAATGATCCATTGATTGATTGGTCTACATGTATTGGATGATCCATATAGAAAATTAAGCATTCCTTTATAAAAGTTCTTCTCACCTGAGATTGGACCGGCGACGATCTCTATAATGAGATTGGTGAGCCTCCACTAGTTCGCAAGTTGGCCGCTTCAAGATGGAAGTGGTACCTGCAAAAGAGACTCTGATGCTTAAGTTAGTACTTGATAATGTAGATGTCTCGTATATATAGCAGGCGTACCTTGATGGTTTTAAGATTTTTACTGTCTATCGGCACATTAGTAATTTTAGGGTTTTATCTCGTGATTACGGCACGATGACAAGATTGTATTTTTATCCTTCTGATGATGTGGCCTCTTTGGGTCGATGTGATATTCCGATGTGTATGTTTCGTGGTCGAGCTTAGTAGCTCGGCAATAATGAGTTCACTACTTGGTCAGGTTGGTAAACCTTTGACCGAGTTTGACAACTTGGTAAGGGATGAGTTCATAACTCGGCTAGCCAGTATAAAAGTCATTCCAAGTAAACTTTTTAGATGACAAAATTTATATTCAACAAGTGGTTTTGTAAATATATTAGTAAGTTGATTTTCAGTACTTATGATGTAGAGGTGTCAAAGTGAGTCAATCTATATTACACGTGTTGGTTTAGCACGAGTTGGTGCTTTAAATGAGAAAGTTCAACTTAGCTCAATCCACCACGAGTGATAAGTTAAGTTGGTTGGCTCACTAGCTTTTAAAAATTAAAAATTAAAAAAAAAAATTAATTACGTGTCCCTATTTTTAATTAATAAAATAAAGAGTTGCAATTTTTTTTAATAAGAAATCAAGTCTATAATTGATTCAAATACAAATGCAAAAAAAATAATAATAATCAAAATTTCAAATGGCAACTACAAAAAACATAAATATAGATTTTTTTTATATCTTTTTTAATTGAAATGAGTTAAATTGGTCAACCCAACTCACTTCAACTCGAGCCCACTTAGTTCACGTATTAAGTAAGATGGGTTGAAATTTAACTAAAATTTATACATAATGTTTTTTCCTAACATGACCCGACTTAGACCCATGATAAGCTAGATTGACCCATTAAGTTAAATTCACTTTGACATGTTTATTATGAAGTAAATATATATTACACCCTTCTGAATATAATCTCTTATAAAATATTTTTTGTTACAAGATTTAATTTTTTTATTATTGGATATAGAACATTCTCAAGGAAAATATAACTTTTATATTCCCATATTTTTATTACCAAAAAAAGATGTGGATAAGTTAAATCCCATAATATGAGAATTAAAAATTTTAATTATATATTTTTTTTTTCATACATATGATCTACATAATATCATAAAGTTAACAATTAAAAACTAAACTGTGCTTGAAAGGTATGACTTCTGCTAGCTATGTATTTTAATCCTTTAGCTTTATTCATGCCTCCTTCATCAAAACATTTCCGACATCAACCAAATTAAATGTTATTGATTCTTGTCATTATATTTCTAGAAATGTTATTCTCAAGATTAAAAGTTGATAACTTGAAATGTTATTCCTATCCAAAGTTTATCAAACATTTTTAAATTGGTAAGACTAATCGAATCCACGGAATCAAAAGCCAAATGCAACAACCACTTCCAAGCTCCAAGTATCCTAAAAATTTAGAATGGTTAAAGTCAACCGGCAGATAACAATTGGATAGTTTGGACAGTCTGGCATTCAGAATACATTATCAGTTTCCTCGAGCAAATTACCATCAAAGTCCACTTTTGAAAGCAATTTTGGTTAATATTAATCAGCGCGTATATAATCTGGCACCTGAAACTAAAGGATGTTTGAATATTACTACCGGTGAAAGAATGAGCCGATGACCGAAGCTATAACAGAAGACGCGCTTGTGTGGCTAGATGTCAATGGATGGACTAAAACTGTTTAATGAACAGAAGGAAAAAAGAAACATGAGAATTTGATATTAAGCCTGCTACAAGAATTAATCATCCCAGAGCTGATCTTGTCATCTCATATGCCAAGAAGCATGCTGCATTTGCAGGAACACTTCGGGCCATTGCAGGACCAAAACCCTTATACAAGCCTTTGATCCCCTCTGAAGCTCGAATCTTCCTGAATGCATCAAATGAACCAGAAAATTTTGGGTTTCTGTGATCATCTACTTGAATAACACTCTTAATAACATCAGTTGGGTAAACAATGAGCCAGAAGGAAGCTCCAGCCAAGCCTCCAGCAACAATCAGAGAACCTCTACTTAGGCCAGAAGTATCAGTGCCTCCTGCAAACTTTTGCTTTAATGCTTCATATACACCAAACATTATAGCATTTCCAGGTATCTCACGCCCCATAGTGGGAACAAGGCCCTTGAAAAGACCTCTCGTGCCCCCTTCTGACCTGAGAACATGCCTGGCCACATCCATGGGTCCTCCATACTTAACAGCCACAGTAGCTGTTTCTGAGCCAGCAAGCGCACTTTGTGCCTGCAACCTGACAATATTCACCATGAATCAGAAAAGTTAAGCCAAGATCAATGCATATTTTGAGTACCTATGATGATGCCAAGTAAAATATGAAAAGTTAATAAAGACTAATCTTAGCTGGAAATCATTTGGTTTATTCTCATAACAATCTGGTTTATGTCAACTGAGAGGAAGAATTTAGTTTGTCAAAGATAAGCACCTAAAGGAGATGCTTTGTAGAAAAAAAAAAAACAAAAAATAGATACCCATAACAATTATTTCCGTGCTAGCTAAATAATCTATTGTTTTCTAGCGGGTAAGAATCCATGTAAAATTTTATAAAGGGAAAAAGAACGAAAAAATCCAAAACCTCTCAAAATCTATAGAAGTTGATAAAAAGAAAAGCAAGAAAATAAGATAAAAAAGGATTATGATGAGAAAAACACTGTCAGACCTGCATTTGATCAATTCAGTTGGGCAAGCAAGAATGGAAACAGCAACTCCAGCTCCAGCTCCGCAAACAAACTGCTGATTCACTGTGAGGGGGGCACCAGGATGGGACCTCACTAATGTTTCCATTTGTCCCCTCACTGTAAACAGGACAGCATTGAAGGCTGCTACAGTAGCAAGTGGGGCACCCATGCCTTTGTATAAACCCCTTGGTCCTTCAGCTGCTATTGTCTGCTTGACAGCATCAAATGCACCTGAATACTTGGGAAGCTGACCAGGGAGTGGTGCAGGCTGGCTTTGGAGCTTGACCTTGATGGTGTCAAAGGGGTGTCCACATATCAACTGTGCTGCCCCTCCAATAGTCCCAGCTGCAAGGTCCTTAGCCACATCTCCCATCTGCAAAACATAAATTTCAAAGAGATAGAGTGGGAAAAAGGATTAGAAAATGGAACATGAACATATGAAGGGATGTAATATGAAGAACCCAACGAAAAGTATGATCAATGAGAAAACGGCCCATTCAAAAAATATAGGACATAACAAAATCTATTGATGAAGCTTTAGTTTTGCAGCAGATCAAATAGGATTTTTATTCTCTCATAGACACAATCCCTTCGTGTCTTTGTTTTCTATTGAAATTTTCATATCCCCGCACAAATATGTCATATGTTCAAAGAAAATAATTATTTTCAAGGTACAATTAGTGCCAACAAGAAAGCAAAACTTCACATGGTAACATATTTATAGGAAATAATAACAATTCAGAAGAGGCATACTCTTTCATAGACATCATAGCTCAAAAAAGTTGTGATGACAGACTAATTATTTTGCATTATATGCATTGCTATTCTCCAAGACACTTTTAAGAGGTGGTAATTGTGTAACCGAAGAACAAAATATATTAAGTTTCAACAAATTTTCAGAAGAGATAAGATTGATTTTCACTGTCACAGGTAAAGAGCAATCACAAAATTTTCCGCTTTTGCAAGGGAAATAACTAAATTGGCTGAACCAGTCATGCGTCTAATACATTTGGATCATCCAGAGTGTCTAAGAATATTACTACTTCAAGATTCAAGATAAACAACGCAGACAACTATACACTTCCAGAAAAGATGCAGGATAAGAAACAAAAAGCTTCCAATTCACACAAAACTCATTTTACTGAAACGGAGCTTAAAGAAGGATAAATTTGAGTTTATAGATATACAAGGAATATCATAGGATTGTTTTCTAATTAGCTCAAAACTTCTCTGTATTACATTATTCTTAAACCCTAAAAAAAGTGAAGTCAAGAACCCATTTCAACGACTTCCTGAGTCTGTTACAAACTATGCTAAAGAGGAAAGAAGGGAAATGATGAAATTCAACTTCATGTTTGAGGTATAAAAATGTGAATGTGTAATGCATTGCTGCACATCATATTCCCAGTGACATCAACTGTATTGTCATACCAATTAAAAAACAAATAGTAATTTAACAAACTTACCAACTTCAAATAACTATAATGATAATCAAACTTGAAACAAGAAAATACACTATAAATTCCAAAAACGGAAAGGTTCACCATATAACAAGTAACATAATATGTTAGACGGAGTTACAGTGCAAATTCGTGAAATTATTTAAATTTATCAATTCATACAAAACTCGTATTTTCTTAATCACACAATTAATACGATGAAGCTAATTAGTGATTAAAGTGTAGGATGGGAAGCATAACAAAGTCTTGCACCCACAAATTCATCACAGACACAAGACAAAAATAATGAAAATAACCACAATTGCATAACACGAGTAGCACTAAGCAGTGAAACCATGAATTTAAATTAAAGTTACAATTGTCCTTAAGATCCCATGACAATCACCTAAAATACAAAAAAAAAAAAAAAAAAAAAAAAAAAAAAAAAAAAAAAAAAAAAAAAAAAGTGTGGTAAGTGCTGTTGCGTAATTCTCCCAAAGTACTGTTACCTTGAAGGAAGACGGAGCATAATTCAAAACCACAAATGAAATGCATTATGAGGAATGGCACTTAAATTAAGTTTTGGAGAAATGAAGTTGTGAAAAATCTAGAATCATACCGAGCTCTAGCAGTGTCGGAAAGAATGAGATGAAACGCAGAGTGAAAAAGGAACAAAATGGAACACCTTTTACTGAGAGATAGTTAGTAAGATGAATCTGAAAGAAATCAAAAAGCGTTGAAAGGAGTGAGGAGTGGTAGGAGATGGGTAATGTGCAGGTGGCGGAGAATCTAAGGACAAGAAAACAAAAGCGGTAATTGAATCTGAGAGAGAGAGAGAGCCACAAGAAGTTTGGGATAGGAATAGGACAAAGAAAACAAAGCCAGAGAGACAAGTGTGGCTGAAACGTGAATTTCTTGGAATCGCACCAAAGGCCAATCTCCCCACTCACCAAATCACTTCATAAATAAATAATAATAATAAAAAAATATGGATTGAGAGAGAGACTGCGCCCGACGCAAACGCATGTTCAGATTATTGGATTCTGATATGGCCAACACATCCGCTATCATACGACTTGCAAAAGTTGTCCAAGTGCAAAGGCTGTTAATTAATTATCAGGTTTTTGTTTTTAAGAAATAATAACTGCTTTTCAACTTATGCTTGGCTTATTTTCCTAAAAATAAATGCTACATTATTTTTTAAAATATTTTTTCCTTGTGAAAAAATAAAATATTAGTTTTATCATGGTAAATTATTTATCTTTTATTTTTATCCTTATAAAATCTAAAGTTACTATTTTTTATCTTCAATGATTATTTTAAAATATATAAATAATATGTATTTTAAAAATCTATAATAAAAAAAAATTAAGTATCATCACTAAGACCCTAACATAATATATTTAACAATTGTAAGTAATTCTTGAGATAAGCACTTAACTTTTTTAGGAAACACACAAGATGTTAACAATGATAAAAATATAATTCAAAATTTTAAAGGAATGAAATGAAAAAAATAAAATAAAATTATAAAGATCAAAACAAAATTTACTCATTTTATAAAGGCTAAAGTCAACTTAATCATGTTTCAAATTCATTTTTCCTCTTTGAGTACAAGAAAGTTTTAAACATGTGTGCAATAAGAAAAAATATCATGAATCAAACAAGTGAAAAATCTTGAAGTTTTTTCAACTTAAGAACTTAGTTATTGTTTTTCACGAAACCAAGAAAGATCATATTGGAAATCTTCACACAGGTTAATTCATTTCATTTACTTATGTTGAAAAAATCCGGTTAGATTTCAAGGAAATGTTGTATTCCATATGTTAAGGTATTAGATCAAAGGACAATCATAGACCCCTCAAAAATTATTTTTTAATGATAACAATCTCAAAAACTTTTTTATAAGGAATTATTTTTAAGATCATTCAATGAAGACGATACTATAAGACGTTTGGGTGTGATGATATGTCTTCTGATAAGTCTATCAGACAAAACCAGACAAAACATTTTGTCTATCTCAAATGAATGCATTAAATATTTCATTTATTATGTTTGATGGTCATATCATTTGTTTCTATGTTATTCCTTAATAGATCAAAAGAAATAAAAGCTTCTTGGTACTTAAACTTCAAAAAGGAACGAAGATTTTCTTTTCATATAAAAAGTGACAATTTGGTGAAATGTATTTAATATTCACATTTAGTGCACCAACAAAATCTTACTCTACAAGGAAAGAAGATGAAGAAAAATGAAGCAAGCCTATAAGTGAAAATCAAGGATTTACAACAGTCATTTTCATTAAGCACTTATATATAATAAAAAAAACTTCAAGAACTCAAAAACAAGAGAGAACAACCTCAACTATTCTATTCATTTTTCCTTTATGTGTAAATCTTTGAACTTAAAATTTGCATCACTTCTTGTGAGAAAGACGAAATATTTTGTTATTTTCCAACTTTAACTTAGTGTTTTAGCTTGAAGCCTAGAGAACCTTTGTTGTAAAAAGGATACTTGATTTTGAAGCCTCGAGAGTCTTCGTTGTTCAAAGAATACTTAAGTAATTTGCTTGAAGAGACAAATCAAAAAATACTTAGGCTTGAGTCAAAAGTGGCTTGTGAAAGAATATTTGTATCTTTGTAAAAGATAACGGAACTTGATCAAGTTGATTAAGAACTAGACATAGTCTCAATAGTTGAGATGATAAAAATACCTTGTGTTCTTTGTTTCTTGCTTCATATACATTCCTTTGAGGCTTATGTTACTACTTCACTATTTTCAAAATGTGTTGAATTTTTTTTATTGACATTATTCAACCCACTTCTAGTGTCTTTCTTTTCTCCATAATTTGGTACCTAAGCTCCACGTTTGATGGGGTTAAGCATCTAATTGTCCAAAAGGAAAAAATCCTAAGATGGGAAGTAGTGAAAGATAATACTTGCCAAAAGGAGTTTCTCTTACAAGGTCACCAACCTTTAATAGAGAAGACTACTCATTTGGAATGACATAATAGAGATGTTCATTAAGTACACCAATATCACCCCTGGAAGATCATCATTGGTGGTGATGTTTTGGTTACCCAACCAAAGAATGAGTACATACAAGAAGACTACAACATCTTGTTATTCAACACACAAAGGCAAGATACATCTTAGCTTGATATTTGTCAAGAATGATAGTGCATAATTAATACATATTTTAGTATATTATATTAGGCTTATTTAATATTTAGAAGTATCTTAAGTTGATGAATTGGTTGACATTTGTTTTAGTGGACTATTTTGGTTTCAATTATAAATTATAGTTAATTTTTTGTAATTTTTGTCCACTTTGACAGGCTGTCTTGCACAGGTCATATATAAAGCTCTTAAACTCAGAATTGGACATTCTTAGTGTCTTTTGAAAGCTAAGACAGAGCTCTACAACTTCTCTATTGAGAGTTTCACCTACTTAGGATGTTTAAGGGTCCCAAAATGTGTATCAATGTTACGTCTCTGCACTTCATTTTAGGTTTACCTTAGGAACTTATTGTATTAGTAGTCTAACCTTGTTAATTAGTTGATTAGTCGGTCAAACCTTATAAATATTCTTATTAGGCCCATTAAATTGGTTTATTAATAAGTTTTGTGAGACTTGTTATGTACATTTTATACTCATTTTTTAGATTTTAAAGTAGCTTCCTTTACAAGTTTATCAAATTCTCTCTCTCTCTTTCTCTCTCTCTTTCTTTTCCCTTCTTTCTCTCTCTGAATTCTCCCCACATTTGACACAAATTGATTGTAGCAACTTGATGTAGATGCATAGCCAATCTGTTCATTTGATTCAAGGTTTCATGACTTATGGTTAAATTCGAGTTTCCGATGTATTTCTACCATATGAATTCTCTTCATTTTCATCTCCATTGTAGATTTAATTTTCATTTTCATGATTATGAATTTTGTTTAATTAGATCTATAATTGACATTGAAGATAAATTATGGATCTAGATCTAGACTTAGATCTAGACCTAAAATAACCTAAATCGTCTAAATCAATCATTCATTATTCTTGAATTTCTCGAAAATTGTGAGATCACGATTGTGTTTCATGTTTTTATGAAATTCATTAAATTTAGATTTGGATATATATTTTAATTACATTTGTATTGATTTAGGTTGATTGAATTCAAATTATATTTTAAACCATGAAAATTTTATCATAAGGATTGAAATTTCCTTTTAATTCTTTGTTTACATTCTTAAGTGTTCAATTACTATTCATAATTTATAAAATACTTATTCTAACTTTGCATGATAATTTTGTGGGGAGAAACAATAAACACTAGAAAGAGGTTGAATAGTATGTATAAAAAATTTACACGTTTTTCGTAGTGAAGTAATAACACTAGTCAAATAGAGTGTAAAGAGTAGTCAAATGGAACATTGGATATTTTTATACTAGTTCATCTCAACCACTAAGAGTACGTCCAATTCTCAATCTAATAAAATTGAGTTCCAATATCATTCAACAAAGATACAACTGTTCTTTCAACAAGTCACTTCTAACTCAACCCCAAGTATTTTTTTACTTGCATCTTCTGTAACGACCCAATAGTTGCAGTAGCAATTGCATTTCCAATAGTTGTAGCAACAATTGTATTTGCAGTATTATCATGACTAGGATTAACATTTACTATGCCCTGCAAAGAAAGCAAAAAATTAGCATTTGCTATCATTGTGAATTAACTATATGTAATTAATTATTAAAATCACCTTTGTTGTTGGTGCAACTTGATTTTGGGAACTTATGAATGTGAGCAAACCACGTGACAAAGAAACATATAGGATGCAAACTTTAATTGGGAAACATAATTGTCGAAGAGTTTTTGATAACAAGAATGCTACGTATACCTCTTTTTATTTCGAAAAGTGAGAATACTTTGTACTGCAAGATGTGGAGGAACATGATAAGGAACAGATATTGTGTGGCCACAATGAGAAATTGATAGTATTATATTAGGACTACTCAACACAAGTCCAAGATAACTTTTTCAAGTGATTTAAGAATATGAGATTTGTGATGATTGTGATGTCGTGATAAAAGTAATGAGCAAAGTAAGACTCATCGTGTCCATGTTAGTTGTAGATATTTGATTTCAAATCAATTAGTATATTCAAACACATGATTATTTAATTTGTGATACTTTTCCTCAAAGTCTTCACAGCCTTAGAACCTTCCAGATTTTTTTTCCCTAGAGCATAGCATGTATGCAAGCCTACATTATTTAGACACTATATTAACACACTGATTTTATTTTTGAGCCATTTTACACCCTTCGTTGCTAAAAAGAGAAAGGAAGATCCAACAATCCTTCGATGCTGAGATATAATCATGCAATGCTATATGTTACTAACCCCCCTATGAAAGTTTCTTAGCATAGGCTGAGACAATATCCCTATTTGTCTTCTATCATGTATGCAATTACATAATTACAGTAATAAAAATTTATAAGGGTATGTGGAGGTTTAGGGGAGACGAATTACTGCACTAAAAAAGGGGGCATGCCTGAAGTGTACTTTCATTACCATAGTATGTTCTTTCATACATAATAACCTCCACCAGGTGATTTCTTTCCATATAATGACTAGCATAATATCAAACTAATGTTTGAAGTGCTGACTATATTTGCCTTCTACTACACATTTGGATTTAGAAACTGAAATTTTAAAAGTTGTGCAGATAAAGCTCTAAATTACAACATTTTTGTGATGGTGTCAACAATATATAGCTTCAAGATATTGGTGATGAAAGAAATTGCTTTGCAAAATACAAAAGAAAATCCTATACAATTTGTATTACCTATGCAAAATAAATGGTATTTGTTTATGCCATCTAAAAGCAATTATTGTGCAAAATACAAAAAATAAATCCTATACGATTTATACCCGTCAACTAAATCAAAGCCTTATATTCAATTGTTGTACACAACTTGCATATCCAAAAAATAATCCAACAAGGTTCTAGAACTAGTGATCTATAACAGCATAATCTTTCATTATTTTCCTAATGTAGACCCATCATCTGCTCCTTTATCAGTCCCCTAGTTATTGTTGTTTTTTCCTGTAGCAAGTGCACCAATCCCTAAGTTTTTCTTCCCTGTTTTAGCTTTCTTTGAAACACTAGTTACCTGCAATTTTGAAAGAAATTGTTATAATTAAAATAATATCTAGCATGCATATACTACTAATGCCATGTAAGTAACATTATACCTCCATGTTAGCAACTTCATTTTTCCTCTTTGGCAGTGAAACATGTGGACCAGCAACACTTGCAACATTCTTTGTCAAATCAATTCTAGCATTATCATTAAGTAAGTGTTGTGACAATAGTAGAAAAAAAATTAGCATATTATATATCATAGTTGGTTGCATTCCAGTAGTCAATATTTGATACCATAGCAACTGCATTTCCAATAGTTGCAGTAGCAATTGCATTTCCAATAGTTGTAGCAACAATTGTATTTGCAGTATTATCATGACTAGGATTAACATTTACTATGCCCTGCAAAGAAAGCAAAAAATTAGCATTTGCTATCATTGTGAATTAACTATATGTAATTAATTATTAAAATCACCTTTGTTGTTGGTGCAACTTGATTTTGGGAACAAACATCGACTGGTGCATTGTTTATGATAGTTTTAGTCTTAGTCACATCATCTAGAACAGGTGGAGGTAGCTTACATTTCCTAGCGTTGTGGCCTACCTTGTGGCACTTGCTACATCCGTTCCTTGTATTTGACCTTTCTAGTTTAGTGGCTGGGGAGGAAATGAAAGAATGCGTGGCACCAAAATCGAACAAAAATAAAACATCATCACCTGCTGCTTTCCCCTTCCTCTTCACCAAATCTGATGAAGTGGATGTCTCTACACTTGACAAAGCAAGCACTCTCCCCACAGCTGTAGGCCTGGGTGGCCCGGGGACACTCCCAGATAAAGCCGGCGGTGTCTGACAATCTCTAGAGATGTGGCCTGGCCTACCACATCTGAAGCAAACATTCCCCGGATGGGGACAATCTCTAACCATGTGGGCTTTTCCACATCTATAACACTGCACCGACTGTGCTTCACCTTGAGGAGTAGCAGGACGAGGCCCCCTACTAACAGCTTCTCTCTGAGACTAAACAGGCTTGTCATAGGGTCCTCTCTGCTGACCTCCCCTCCTAGATCCAGATGATCACTCATAAACTCTAGTAGCCTTGCCGCTGCTACCACCCACCAATCTCTCAACAGTCTTTACTTCTCAACTAAGGTAGGAAACTCCACTATAGACATAGGGACTATGACCTTCTTCAGCTCATGCCTCAACCCCTTTGTAACTTCCTACATCTCCAAGCCTCAGATACGGCCTGAGAGCCTTCTCATTCACTTTCTTAAGCTCATCCATTTTCTCATCCCATGCCTCAACATATGTAGCCTTGGCTGCTGCCATCATGATATCCCTAATTAATGTTCCTCCCCCAAACTTCTACTTTAAGTTACAATACAAGTGTCTCAAACAATATCTATGTTTAGTTCCCTCTAAGAGCTCTTCAAATACTGAGATCAAACCCTATAAAAAAAAACAAGAAGCATAGGTTTAAAGCATCACATTTCAATTATAACATTTAAATTAAATATGTATGATTGTAGTATACTTACTTTTTGTTGGTCAGAAATGATACCCATCTATAGGTTGTAATTCACTTTCTTAAGCTCATCCATTTTCTCATCCCATGCCTCAACATATGTAGCCTTGGCTGCTGCCATCATGATATCCCTAATTAATGTTCCTCCCCCAAACTTCTACTTTAAGTTACAATACAAGTGTCTCAAACAATATCTATGTTTAGTTCCCTCTAAGAGCTCTTCAAATACTGAGATCAAACCCTATAAAAAAAAACAAGAAGCATAGGTTTAAAGCATCACATTTCAATTATAACATTTAAATTAAATATGTATGATTGTAGTATACTTACTTTTTGTTGGTCAGAAATGATACCCATCTATAGGTTGTAATGTCACCAATATCTTCTAAAAGTAATGTTAGAAACCACCTCTATGACTCCTTTGTCTCATTCTCTGCCACTGCAAAAGCAAATGGAAAATATTGATCATTGGGATCTTGTCCCACCACTATTAATAATTGCCCTCCAAATTTGGTCTTTAAATGACAATCATCAACACCAATGAATGGTCCGCAACCTGCCAAAAAAATCATTTTTCATCTGTCTAAACACAAGTAAAAGCTTCCAAATGTTGGTTGAAAGAAACCAGTTGTTCGTTCAAGCTGTAACTTACAGGTATTCCCTACACCTCCATGTTAGCAACTTCATTTTTCCTCTTTGGCAGTGAAACATGTGGACCAGCAACACTTGCAACATTCTTTGTCAAATCAATTCTAGCATTATCATTAAGTAAGTGTTGTGACAATAGTAGAAAAAAAATTAGCATATTATATATCATAGTTGGTTGCATTCCAGTAGTCAATATTTGATACCATAGCAACTGCATTTCCAATAGTTGCAGTAGCAATTGCATTTCCAATAGTTGTAGCAACAATTGTATTTGCAGTATTATCATGACTAGGATTAACATTTACTATGCCCTGCAAAGAAAGCAAAAAATTAGCATTTGCTATCATTGTGAATTAACTATATGTAATTAATTATTAAAATCACCTTTGTTGTTGGTGCAACTTGATTTTGGGAACAAACATCGACTGGTGCATTGTTTATGATAGTTTTAGTCTTAGTCACATCATCTAGAACAGGTGGAGGTAGCTTACATTTCCTAGCGTTGTGGCCTACCTTGTGGCACTTGCTACATCCGTTCCTTGTATTTGACCTTTCTAGTTTAGTGGCTGTTGAATCTTCAACTAGTTCTCTTATTCGTAGTTTCTTAGGCCTTCTTGGTCCACGTTTGTAAGTAGGAGGTAAATAGGTTCATTATCAGTCTTGGGCCATAAACGCTCTCCGTTATTAGGTGCAATGAACTGGCCATAGCATTTTTTATATGCCTCTCTTTAGTAATATTTGTGCACATAAAATTTTGGATCTTCTCCCGAATACGTAATGGTAGCCACTACATGCCTACAAGGGATCCCAACCAACTCCCAAAAGTTACATGAACATGACTGTGCTTTAATGTCAATGACAAATCTATCCCTCCCAACCATGTGAGTGACTTCAAATTTTGAAACATTACACCACGAGGCTAACTAATTTCCACTTTTCTCAATTTTCCTATCAAGTCTCTTTCTAGGCTTAGGCATATAACATTACCCTTATACCTCCCTAATTTTTCGTTTAATGCAACAAACCTATTCATGATATACACCCTAATCCACTCAAACATTTTAATGATAGGCTTATCTCTAGCTAACAAAATGGTGCTATTGAAGAATTCACTAAGATTATTCATCAAAACATCGCACCTAGGATAATAACTAAAGGCATGCTTGCACCATGTTGTTGTGGGAATTGCACTCAACCACTCATGCCTTCTCATTCACTTTCTTAAGCTCATCCATTTTCTCATCCCATGCCTCAACATATGTAGCCTTGGCTGCTGCCATCATGATATCCCTAATTAATGTTCCTCCCCCAAACTTCTACTTTAAGTTACAATACAAGTGTCTCAAACAATATCTATGTTTAGTTCCCTCTAAGAGCTAATTTTCAACATTCGCGCATCTATTGAGTTTCTAAACTCACATGCAACCTACACAACAAACATTCTAGCTTCCCTTACCTGAAGGTTGGCTCAGAATAGCCAACTGTGACAAAATAGAATCCCCTTCCAAAGCTCAACCCGGAACTTCAATCATCCCAAAGCAAGCTTTCTAATCTGAATTTCAAGAAAAGTCAGAAGGCATTAGTGGTCTAGAGGAGAAAAGGAGTCAAACAGAGAAATTTGGGAGAGAAAGGAGCTCACTGACCCAGAGACCTTCTCTCTAAAACTTCTCTCTAAAAACACATTTTCCTGAAGGCCCCTAACCCCTATTTATAGATTTTCGGATTGCCCCAGAACAGCCCGTACCGAGTTCGGAATGGCCCGTTCTGAACTCCCAATTCACGCACAAAATCTACGCCCAGAACGGCCCGTTCCGGGACTCATCCGGAACGGCCCGTTCTCCCTCCGGAACGGCCCATTCTCCTTCCGGAACGACCCGTTCTCCCTCCGGAATGGCCCGTTCTCCCTCTGGAACGGCCCGTTCCCAACCACGAATTTCAGTTTAATTTAATAGCTTGGAACGGCCCGTTCCAGATTGGGAATGGCCCGTTCCAGGCTACTAAATCAGCCACATCTTTTTAACCACGTTACATCTTCAAGGAATTACCTAAGTATTTTTTTAACAACAAGCCTCTTCAGGTTTAATAACCAAGTATTTTTTTTAATCAAGTCTCAAACAAGTATTATTTTACAGATAAGTCTCTACAAGCTTAACCAAGTGTTATTTCATAGACAAATCTCTCTAGACTTAACCTTATAACAATGGTTATAAAAGTTACAAAGATGTTATGTTTCTCTAACTTAGACATTATACAACCAATATAGTGTAGTAAAATTTTACAAGAAAGAGTGAGTATATTTTACAAAGAGTATATGTTTCTAAACCAGTATGTCTTCTCTTTTTGTATATGTATTCTCTTTCTTTCTTAAGTTTTGAATCTTTTTATATAGTAGCTTGAAGAAGATGATTGTTACAACACTTTGAGTCCAAATCACGAGTTTGCTTTGTTTGTCTTCAATGTTTTTTCCTTGAGATAGGAGGTAACTATTGACTCATTTAATGCAAACATTAAATACATTTCACCAAATGGTACCACTTATCTAATAAAAAAAACTACTTATCAATTTTCTATACCAAACAGAGCTTGCAGAAGCAATGTTAGCGTAGTACAACAACAACAGTGACTTTATTTACTTTTCTCCGTAATTTTAGGGATTTTTGGTTCTTGGTGTTGATAGAAAGCATGATCTTATTCTCTTTAAACGATTTGTGAGTTCTAAGATGATTTTCTAATTCGATCTATTAAGGAATGAAGCATTTAAAACAAAATTTTTCATTAGTCTCAATAAATAATGAACATTTAATGAACATGAGATAAATTGTATGCTTCGTCAGATTTTCTTATCATCTTACAGACGATCTGTGTCTTACACTTCATTTTATAAGCATCTTCAAAGATATTTTCAAAGATTTTTTGAAGACATTTTCTCTTATAAAAACATTTCATTTGTTAGTATTAAAACTATAAAGCTTGAGGGATCCAAGATCATCTTTTAACTTAACATTTTGGATCATATTGACTTGTGTCTTCGAGAAGAATGACCTAGGTTGTTCCCTATATTACAAATATAAGGGGAAAATCTAGTAATTTTTGAAAGTGAATAAGCAACACTATAAAATAACTAAGTAAATTTTTTTTTGCAGTTTGTAAGACTACTAAAGAAATATGAGAAGCTATCAGTGTAACTCATGAAGGAACTGAAGACATAAGGCTTAAAAGAGATGCAACTCTTTAGAGACATTGTTAAGCCAAAAGACGATCTCCTAAACTTAGAGTTTTAATGCTAAAAAACTAAGTATTTTTATATAGAAGAAATATACGGGAAAATGTCTTTGAAACATATCTTTGAAAGGCTTATCAAATAAAGTGTAAGACACATATCATCTGTTAGACATTGTTCATTAAACGAAGGTTACAGTTTGTCTCATATACATTAAATATTTATCATTTATTGAAGCTAACGATAAATTTATTTTTGAATGTTTCATTCCTTAATAGATCAAATCGAAAACCATCTTAGAACTTTCAAATTTGTTAAAGAGAAGAACCATGCTTTCCATCAGAACCAAATCCCTAAAATCATGGAGAAAAGCGGATAAAGTTAGTGTTATAGTTGCTCTACATTGACATTGTTTCTACAAGCTCCATTTGGTATGAAAAGTCAGATAAGAGTTACCATTTGGTGAAATATATTTGTTACTCACATTAAATGAGCCAAATAATCACCTACGATTACAAGGAAAGACGATGAAAACAAAAGAAGCAAACTTGTGAGCTGAACTTAAAGTGTTGCAACAGTCATCTTCTCAAGGCTATTATATAAAAAGATTCAGAGCATAAGAAAAATAGAGACATTAATTAAGTGATACTTATACTTTGAACATAAACTCTCTCTATAAATCTATTTTTTCATGTAAACACTCATTGCTCTATATTGGTTATATAATGTCTAAGTGAGATGAACACAACACTTGTGTAACCTTTGTAACCATTATTATAATGTTGAGCCTGGAGAGGCTTGTCTGAAAAGAATACTTGTTTTAAACCTAAAGAGGCTTGACGGTAAAAGAATATTTGTTGAGTCTAGAGAGGCTTAATATTGTAAAAAAAAATAATACATGTTTTGGCCCCAGAGAGACTTGACTATAAAAGAATACTTAGTTGTTAAGCCTGGAGAGGCTTGTTGTTAAAAGAATACTTGGGTAGTTGCTTGAAGATGCAAGTCAAAGAATACTTAGGGTTGAGCCAAAAGTGGCTTATTAAAAGAATACTTGTATCTTTATTTAAAGATAGTGGAACTCTAGTTGGATTGAGAATTGGACATAGTCTCAATGGTTGAGACTAACCAATATAAAAATATCTAGTGTTCCATCTGACAACTTTTCTCACTTTATCTGACTAGCATTACTACTTCATTGCAAAAAACGTGTGAGTTTTTAATATACACTATTCAACCCCTCCCCACTTTTAGTTTTTATCTTTTCTCGATAGACATTATGAATTGTCCTTTATGAAAGAGAATGAGACCATTGATGGGGTGTTTGAAAGGTTCCAAGTTATCCTTAATGAGTTGAAATCCCTTGGAATTGAGTTCTCCAAAGCTTAGAATAACTTGAAGATTCGAGACAGTTTGCCTAAAGTTTAGAAGCCAAAGGCCACTACCATCTTAGAGGCATGAGACCTTAAAACTTTAACACTGGATGAAATTTTGGGAACCTTAAGAGTTTATGAAGTCCATCTGAATAACAAAGATCATATGAAAGCTAATAACATTATTGCTTTGGAGACTGGTGAAACCAGCAAGAAAAATCACAAGGCAAAGCTTTGAAGGTGGAAGTTGAGTACAAAAACTTAGGTAAAAGTTATGAAGACTCAACAAACAATGAGTTATCTCACATGTCTAAAAAGTTTAAAAACATGTTAAAAAAAGAAGGAAAAATTGAGGAACTTCTAGAAAGAAAAAAAAAAGAAAAGTTTAAAAAACTTGTCAAGAAGGAGATTATTTGCTATGAGTGTAAGAAACCTAGACATATGAAAGTTGAATGGCCTACACTCTAAAAAATATGGTCAAGCAAAAAGAAGGTCAAAAGAGTTTGATGGCAACATGGAAAGATCTCGACAACTCAACAACAATAGTTCAAACAATGAGAAGGCTAACATATGTCTTATGGAAGATACAAACAAAATAAGGATTGAGATAAAATCTAACTCTAGCTTTCATTCTAGTTTTTCTAAAAAAAATAGACAATAAATCTAATGAAGAAGAGATGCTGATGAAGTTCCACTTGTGAAACCTCAAGAACACCTTCAATGCTTCTCGGTTCCTTGGAAAGATAGCAAGGAATGGATGCTCCAAGAAGCACCAATGTGACCTATGCTTGCTCAAGCTAAATCCGGAAGAAGGAGATGCAACCTAGCTCTACAAAGAGAGGAGCTCAAGGAGGGTAGAGGTAGGTTGTGTGAGTGACTTTCGGAGAGGAGAGAATTCAAAGAGAGAAAACTCATATATCAATTCCAAAAGTGAGTACAAGTCTCGGCCACTTTGATTTTATAGGGAAAAATTAGGTTAAAGGAACCATGGGTTAGCCTAAGGTTAAGTGAAACCATGGTATGGTTTACTTAACTTTAGGCACCCAAAATTTGAATTCTAAATTCAAATTTTGGAGCCAAACCCGGAACCACACCATGTGCACCTCATTTGGAATGTAATTAAGCTTCCATTTGAGTTGCATTTCGGTCACACCATGTGCATGTGTTGCACATGGACGAAATGCATACCAAATGTAAAGCTAATTACATTCTAATGCAAATACACATGCAACCTAAAATAAACCCTAAATTCAAATGACCATTAAATGATAATCCTAATCTAAATGGCCGGAAATACAAGGCCTAAAAGAAATACAAGGCCCTAAGACCTAACCCTACACTACTCCTACTCTACTTGGGCTTGAGTCAAAGCCCAACTAAACAAAATGATGGGCTTTCCTTGAGCTTGGGCCCACTCCTCTTGGATCTTCTTTGCCATAACCCTAGTAGTTGGGCCCTTGGCCCATGGGCCTCCTCCATCAGATGCAATATAAGACTCTTATGGTAACTCTAACATGATTACTAGTGAGTGTGAAAAGTTTAAATAAAAATAAAAACTGATGTTTTTAGAGAATAAAAATGTAAGAATGATTTGTTAGATACTTTTAAAGATATTCAAAATCTCAAATGCCAAACCACAAGTAATGAATCAATTAATGTTACAACATTCCAAGCTAAAATCATACAACTTAGAAAGGATCTTGCTAAAATTTCTTATGGATCTTCTAAGTTAAATATGCTTCTAAAGCATAGGAGATTACTATCTGACAAAAGTGGTC